TCTTGCGCTACATTGCCCGCAAGCACGACCTGTGTGAGTGGGGCTGGCTGCAGGGTGCGGGGGCAGTGGGCGTCCCCTGGGCTTGTCTGGGGTGGGTGCCGAGGGTGTGTGTGCTGTGTGGCTGCAGGTGGGGAGACAGAAGAGGAGAAGATCCGTGTGGACATTTTGGAGAACCAGGTTTGGGACACCCGTCTACAGCTTGGCATGATGTGCTACAACCCTGACTTTGTGAGTCCTCCATAAGGATGGGACAGAGGGTCTTGGGAGCAGGAGTTAACATGCAGTCTTCACACTCGTCCCACTGGGCATTTGAATTCATTATTCATACTGATTCTCCAAGTTTTCCTATCCCACCAACACATTGAGCCCCACGGCCCCTTCCAAAAAATTCTTGTCCAATAAATCCCTAGCCTTCTTGGGATGCAGTGCAAATCCCCTGGTTGGACATTCAGTTTCTATATAGTAAATGCTATATAAAAAATTCTATATAAAATGCTCTATAATAGGCATTTTATTCCAGTTCTTCTCACCTTCTATCTGTCTCTGAAATATGGCGACTCAGACCAAGAGATAAAAAAGAACAAAATTGAGGGAACAAGAGGTACCTGGTCTTCAGCCATCTGTCCACCTGTGCTCTTGACATTAGTGTGAGTCAGGACCTGTTTGTAATAGGCAGCTCTGGGTCAGCCTGAGCACCTCTGTTCTCCACACTCCCCCCACCGCCCTTCCTTTCAACATCAAACCTGCCTCAATTTTGTGCACGTAATGAAATATCCATTCCTATCTTCAACCACATCCTAAGTCAAAGTTTGTCTTTTCTCCTAGTGTTTTAGTACTTTGCAAACTTTTTTGATTCCACTAGACATCTGATTCCAGAGTCTTCCATCTGCTCATGACACTCTAGGGTATTACCTCCCAGGACTTGCTTTTGGGCATCATTGGTGACAAATTCAGGAAAAGTGTTATTTTCATGTCTGACTTCTCAACACCTCTAACAGTGGAGTCTGGTACTTAATAGTTTAATAAAGGCTGAAGTATTAACATGAAGCCTAGACCCTGACCAGGTGCAGTCTCTGGAAGATGGCTGCTCACCCCTGGCCAGCTGGGGTCTGCACAGCCCTGGTGTGATCAGCCTCTCTGCTGGGGGTTTGTGTCTGACAACTGTCTTCTTTCTCAGGAGAAACTGAAGCCAGAGTTCTTGGAGGGCCTCCCTGAGAAGATGAAACTGTACTCACAGTTCCTGGGGAAGAGGCCATGGTTTGCAGGGGACAAGGTAAAGGGGAGGGAGATGGGGAGGAGAAGGTGGCATTCTTCCCAGGTTCAGTTCGTCCAGCCCACTGATCCTTGGCCTTCTGCAGATCACCTTTGTGGATTTCATTGCTTATGACGTCCTTGACCAGCACCGTATATTTGAGCCCAAGTGCCTGGATGCGTTCCCAAACCTGAAGG